AAAACTCACTCAAAGCTCGGATAAGACCTCCAAGAACGAATCGATTGGATCCAAGTGACTTTCGCCATCGCTCGCTCTCAATGTCTGAAACACAGTCTGAAAAGCAACAACTTACAGCCCATATCAATGGCCTGGAAAGGGCGTGTCTATGGGCTGTATGTTGTTGCTTCCACCTAAATAACCCTTACTATTTTTTATTCGGTAACCAAATTGCACGGGTGTCCCAAGTGTAGTAGTTCCAAATTCACATGTTGCATTTCCAACATTCGGTATCGCTATGATTTTCGAAAGGTCTGTATGAAGATCGGGCGGAAGTGGTGCGGCAGGCTTTCCACACGCATGGTCATGGGGCCAGATCACTGCTTGGCTCCTGTTCGAATCAACCGAGCCTTCTAACTCCCGGGAAAGGTTTCAGATTTGTTTGGGCCTGTAGGGATCACATCACGTTCAAGGGCCACTATGACTATGAGTGGAGGCAGAATGCGGAGAGCATGCTAAGACGAGGTTAAATAACGGACCTCTTCAGATAGGTATCACAAGGGTGCGTTCATACTTGGTTGCAGCATTCACCAGCATCTATCAGCGTGTACTAACGTTTCGAGCGTTCGGCAGCGTCAAGTCTGGGATAGTATAGATATCGATCTAGCGTCTGCCAGCGTCCACCAGCGTCTCGAGGGCCTGGGAAGTATAGGTATCGATCTAGCGTCTACCAGCGTGTGCCAGCGTGCACCAGCGTCTACCAGCGTCCGGGAGAGGAGAGTATGGCGCGATAGGAGGGTAGCAGACAGCTGGTAGAGTATGGGGAGATAGGAGGGTAGCAGACTGCTGGTCGCTGGTGGACGCTGGCAGACGCTAGATCGATATATACTTTCCCAGTCGCTGACGCTGCCGAACGCTCGAAATGCTAGTGGACGCTGCCGCAAATTATAAATGCAGCCTCCCATTTCGTCACCAGAAACCCTTCCGTTCACGCTATAGATGCAGAAAAGGAACACTTGTAAGGGTGGTAGTCATGAGAACTCACCAATGTCAGCCATTAAACCCCAGCCAACGCTGAGAAAGGATGCCATATTCTCTTCCACTGTCTGCACATGAATCAGGATTCACAGGCTGCGAATGTGCTCCAGGAGAACAACTGACATCGATAGCTCGTTCGGTGAACTTGGGATTTCTCAGTGGCTCACTGAAACCACAGGACATCATTGTCGGGACCAACCAGAAGAACATAGACCAATTTACTAGTAGCAGTCGACTGCGCCAAGCTTCTGCCGCAAGGTTAGCGTGGTGAGGCGTGTGTGGTCCGTATCGGAGAGCAAAAAGGGGCGTCCCGGTGATAGCTACATATTCCTATGTCTGCTCTTTTCTCTCAAAGGCAATGGGCACCATGGCTGGGAGCGGGCTGTTGTGCCAACGTCACTGGTGGAAGGGCTGAGTGGAGGTGTGGCCAAACGCTCTCGCAGCCCTTCCACCAACGACGTTGGCAGGAACCGCCCGCCCCCAACCATCGTGCCCACTACCTTTAATATATGTGAATGTCTTTGTCTTCCTTGCATTCCAGCCATCGTCGCGAGCCACAGCCACCTTTTGCTCTCAAATATGGACTGTACCTCCAAGACGATATGGCAATATGACAATCCCAACACTACGAAAGACACCAGTGAAGGGAGGTTTTGCATTGTGTAGCAGGGAAAATTTCCTAATTACACGGAAATACTAGAAAGAAGAAGTCCTCCAGAAAAAATGTAGGATGATATTTGGAAACTGAGATTACACGTTGTACAAAAAAATCAATCTGTCACCCTCAGACGTGGTAGAACACGATGAAAGCAGTCCATTGCTGATCCGCTTGGCACGATTCCGATCGGTAACGATGGTATGATAGTGGCAGCATCTGGCCGTTCAGTGAATCCATTCAACACCTGAACTTGTCCGCTGCATGGAGTTCATCCCGCCGATGGAGTGTGGGAACTCAGGCAAGGCGTAGAGGGAGCGTACCTGTGCTTTGGTTCCGTTAGAGGTGTCGGATAGAACGAGAGGGTACATCTTAAAGAACCCCGGAAGCTCCTACACATATAAACCCATCCGAGGCAGAGGTTTCGCGGTGGCAAGTGGCACGCCTATCACACACGCGACCAGGGCGTCAATCCACGGATGGGCTCCCGCCCAGGCCAACCAAGCCTTCTACCCTCCGGGGACGGTGAATTGGTACCAGATTCGTCTGGGAGGATAAAACACTGACTTGTACATCGGCTGGCCACCGCAATTCATTGTATAGGCCACATTGCACTACGAGCTGACAGAAAGTGCACAGCATGTCGCATCCCAAAAAGGGAGCGATCAACGGGGAAGGGTTTATCCTTCATCTCTCCCTAAC